CGATAGATAATCTCATTAAAACAAACCAGGGCAAAGATCCCTAATACAACTGGATTGAAAAGAGAGCATTATACGCAAGGTATGGCCTAGAAGACCCAAAACTCACACACAACTCACCCAAAACACACCCACAACCACACCCAAAACAAACATACCAGGAGAATACCCTACTCCCAATCGGAGAATTACCTACTTCCAAAGGGAGAATCTACAACCACAACAGCAAACAGAAGCAAAACACAACACCACACACAAACACAACGCACACACAAAACACAGAACAAAATCACTAAAACTAGAGTTGGTGAAACCTACGACAGTGTTTAAACTTTGAGTGTTATGTATAGAGAAGTGTTTAATAATATATGATTTTTTATACTTTATGATTATCTTCTTGTCATAATCAAATGATTTAACTTTTATGGCAAAGTTTTTAAAAAAGTTTTGGTGATGAAATCTACGAGAGTCACTAGACGTGTCCAGTGTCCAAAGGTCGGGCCGGTACACGACCCGGCCCGACCCGTCGGGTCAGCAGGTCTCAAATCTTGGGCCTGGAATCGGCTCGGCCATATTATTTGAACCGGCCTGACCCGGCCGTTCATTGAAATGCCGGTTTTTTATTTTTAAAAAAAAAAAATCAATTGTGACCTTCGACCCGAAACCGACAGATAAAAATGAAAAAGAAACGAAGATCTAAAACCGGCCCTTAAGGGCTAAGGTCCGGTTAAAAAATCGGTAAATCCGGACGCGTCTGGGTCGACCCTTGACCATGTCTAGCAGTCACACTAGAACATAGGAACAGTAAAATCTATACTTATATTAAAGAGAGTCCTATTTATTAAATTTAGTAGCTAGACAACAGCATTTATTGCCATTATTATTTTCGTATTATACAATTTTATTTAATATTTGTTTTTCCGTTACGATTTTTAAAAACAGATATGGTCAAATTCTCTCATCATTAATTACTTTTCATTAATTACAATTTATTTATTTATTATTTTCTTAGCAAAAACGGACCAACATTAATTGATTTCCTTAAAATGTGGAAGTTGTTGCTTTATTTTTTTACAGAAAATCAGATTCATTATAGACTTAACGGTGATTAAAAGAGGTGGAAAATAAATGATTAACTCTTTTCAGACTTAAACGAGACTTAATGGTGATTAAAATAGGTAGAAAATGGATAATAACTCTTCTCAAACTTAAATGGACAGAGCCTGTGAAAATAATTCATTTAATATCTCTCTCCCGTGCATCGCACGGTGCACGGGGTACGTACTAGTTAATAAAGAGTAGGAAAAACAAAATTCAGAAAAGGAAAAACAATGTAGCGGAATCCGAACCCTACACTATAAAATGCCACCTCCACTTATCCTGCCATTCCCGCACCCCGTCTAAGCAAAATATCTGCTTGACATAAACCCTAAACCCTTTTCTCAATATACCACTCGGCCACTATCTTTCAGCTGCCTCCAGCAGATTTTTTTTTTGAATTCCTTTCTTCAGATATCTTCTATGGGTAAATCCTCCAAGAAATCTGCTTCTAAGGTGAGTTGAAAAATAAAAACAGAACAAAGATTCTTCTTTTTAATCAATTCGTTCATTTTTATCTGTATGTTTGAGCTGTTCGTGATGATGTTTTTTTATTTGGAAGATATCTGCTCCTGCGGTCGTTGCTGCTTCTGCTCCTACCAAGCCTTTAAAGAAAGGTTAGCCACTGCCTGGTTTCTGACCTATGTTCTTTTGGGTTATTATTTAGCTAGCAATCACGGGTAATCCTTTTTCTTCTTCCTTGCCCTTTTAGTTTTCTGTACTGTTTATAATGCTCATTTAGCAAGTCTGGGTTCTTTTGGTATGTGTGTTCCCATTTATTCTCTTGTTCACTTGCTCCTATTATGTTCCCGGGTTGAAATCTGGTTATTTGTTGTTCTCTTGTAAGCTGGTATTGTTTTAAGATTAATGCGATGATTATCTGCATGTTTGAATTTCAATGCACAATAGGCAAGAGAGAAGCAGAAGACCTTGTTGAGAAGGAAGTGGTAAGTGCTAAGAAACAGAAAGTAGAGGGAAAGAAGAATGTGTTGAAGCCTGAGAAGAAGGCCGTGAAGGTGGAATCCTCAAGCGAAGAGGATACTTCTTCAGATTCTGAGCAAGAGACCAAGGTTTGGATCTTAAGTCACCAACTGTCCCCTTTTAATTTGCTTTTTCCCGTTCTCAATGTTTATTTTGAAACTGATCACTCTTTGAGCATGTCCAGCTTGATTTTTGAATATAGCTACTATAAGACGGTTCTATATTTTTGTTATGTGCGATTTGTCATACTTTTCAAGTAGAGTTTCATACTTTTAAGGTGAAACATCATACTTTCAAAAAATTACGTGAACAATGTAAAAAGGTTATTATACAAATTATGACTCATGACAGTTAAAAAGTATTAGCATTTGCTCAAAGAGTATGAAAGTTACTTACTCGAATCAAATAGATGATTTTGTTTCACTTCAGTTATTTTGTTTTTGATTTTCTCCGAACTATTTTTGAATGCTCCGTTGATTTTATCTTAAATCAATGAAATCCATGAATTTTGTTAATTTCATTTTCTTGACTTAAGCTAACCAAGTTTCTTGTGGGATGAATCCTTACCAGGTCAAGGTTGGTGCCAAGAATGGGCATGTGGATTCAGACCCAAAGAAGCCTGCAGTTGCAGCAAATAATTCTCTCCTAGTAACCAACAGAAAGGCAGTAGCAAGTGATGATTCAGACTCTTCCTCAGAAGAAGAATCCAGTTCAGACGAGGAAGAATCTGTCCTTAAGAAGGCCCCAGCTCCTGCTCCTGCCAAGAAGAAGGATGAATCAAGTGATGATTCTGATTCTTCATCTGAGGATGACAGTTCTGATGAGGATGTTGCTGCAGCAAAGAAAGCTACTCCTGCTGCAAGTCAAAAAAAAGTTGAAGTGTCTACAAAGAAGGCCCCAGCTCCTGCTCCTGCCAAGAAGCAGGTCGAATCAAGTGATGATTCTGATTCTTCATCCGAGGATGACAGTTCTGATGAGGATGTTGCTGCAGCAAAAAAAGCTTCTCCTGCTGCGAGTCAAAAGAAAGTTGAAGTGTCTACAAAGAAGAAAGATGAGTCCAGCAGTGAGGATTCTGACTCTTCTGAAGATGAGACCGATTCTGAAGAGGGTGCTGCTCCAGCCAAAAAGGCTCCTGTGCCCCCTGCAAACAAGGGCCCTGTAGCTGCTACTAAAAAGAAGAATGACTCGAGCAGTGATGAGAGCTCGGATGAAGATGTACCATCTAAGAATTCAGAAGCTGTCGCGAAGAAGGATGAGTCGAGTGAGGAGTCAGAGTCAGATGATAGTAGCAGCTCAGAGGAGGATGTAAGGGTTTTTAATTTCCTGATTCTCCCATGTATTCTGTCAATCAGAATTTTTGTTGCATTTCTTTATTTGTAATTTGTAACTGGTCAATTTATCAGCAGTTTTGTGTTTTCCTCATTTTATCCTTTATTGATGGTAGGATCAAGTATCACATAGAGGTCTTTAATATTAGACTTTTTAGCTAATAACCTTAGTATTGCATCTTCTCCATGACATTTGTTGGTGTTACATTATTTTGCAATTTTAAGTTCTTATATCTAGACATGACATATTGCTCTATTATGTGTGATGCTGGATTTTTCTTTGCACAGAATATTTCCTCATTTTTTTTTTCTCATGTTGTTTGCAGGTTCCCAAAGCTGCTGCTGTCAAAAGAACCACTGCTGAACCAAAACAGGTATGGTGTCTCCATGCATCAGTTTGTATTTAGCTTTGGGCAACTTTTCAAATGACATAGGATGATTAAGCGGTATGGTTTATTTTTGTTGGCTTTGAGATTGATTCATTTTGAATTCTAATTGGTAGGCAAAGAAGGATGAAAGCTCTGAAGACGAGAGTTCTGATGAGGAGCCTCAAAAGAAAAAGATCAAGGTTCTGGTAGTCTAATGCATCTGCATTGGAATCAAACTATTGTTCTTTTTCATTGTTATGTATTTTCTGTTGTCTGAATTTTCAGCCATCTGGAGCTCCAAATGCTGTTAAATCAAGTGAGGGCGCTGCAGGAGATGAAAGCAGCAGTGAGGAAGAAAGTTCCGATGATGATGAACCTACAAAAACACAGGTGACAAAGAAGGTGATAAAGTATTTGCATTACGGAGATTTTTGCAAATATCTTGTTAGCTTCAGCTAATCATTGAATATTTTGTTAGCAGCCTGCCACAGCCTCAAAGAAGGAAAGTAGTTCAGAGGAATCATCTGATGAAGAATCTTCAGAGGAAGAAGAAAAACCTCCAAAAACTCCTAAGAAAGCTGTATGCTTCTCTCTTTCAAGTGATGAACACCAATATGCTCAATTTTCTTCTTAATCTTTTGATGATTGTTTGTGAGTGTTTTCCATGTGCGATGTTTGCTGTTACTGCATGCATACAAAATGAACAAGTGACATCAAATTTGGCTATTCTATTCTCTGGCTCACATGCATGCTTATTGTTTATTGTTGATACAGGACACTGATGTGGAAATGACTGATGCAACAGCTACAAAGGCATATGCTGCGAAAGGGATTGACAAAACTGTGAGTGATATCTCTTCACCTGTAATTTTTTGCTCGTGACTGCATGGATCTATCAGAACTCTCCTGTGATTTAAGCAACTTGGATTATGTGTTTCATATTTTGTGCCAGAGGACAGGAGTTAATTAAATTGCACTATGAAGTGCCTGATTTAACTGTGATTATTATTTATAAGTATTGGGCTTTCTTCTGGGAAAGTGGTCTATTGAATATGTTCTTGGCTCATGTTTGTTGTTGTTTTTGTTTCTATATCTCAGCCCAAGACCCCAAGCACTCCAAAAGAGCAGTCAACTGGCTCCAAAACTCTTTTTGTTGGGAATCTATCTTTCTCCGTTGAGCAAGCGGATATGTAAGCTTGCAATTATTGTAACCTAACTTATTGTTTGTTTCAGTTTTTCTTTTATCTGACCTTTTATAACTTTTTGCAGTGAGAATTTCTTCAAACCTGCTGGAGAAGTTGTTGATATTCGCTTTGGCATGAACGCTGACAATTCATTTAGAGGTTTTGGTCATGTTGAGTTTGCTACTTCTGAACAAGCACAGAAGGTATTTGTCCGTTTCAAACGTAGCTAAATGGGCCCTTGTTCATGCTGTTGTCCAATTGTGTTGCATAGTTAAATATTGTATGACTGACACACTTGTGGTATATGTCAGAACTGTTCTCATGTAAACGTTTATAGTGATGTCATCTTTAGCTATATGTCTATAAACATCCTTCTTAATATTTAGTCATTTTGTCAAATACATAAATTTACAACCCCGGTTGCACCTTTGTAAGAGTATCACATGATCAACTTTGTTTTCCTACAGACCCCTCTATTTTGTTATGAAACAGACGTGCTATGGGTTGCTATGAAGAGATGCTAAAGATTTAATATAACAAATACTGACCTAATTCGCTTTAAGACATCATTGTCTTGTAATTAGTCATTCTTGCCCGCACCTGCTTTTGATGATTGCATGGACTTGGTCCTTCATTCTTTGTATCATTTTTGCAATTTGCAAATAAATGTGCCAATTTTAAATATTTGTAGGCTTTGAATGAACTGAATGGTGAGGAGTTGTTGGATCGTCGTGTGAGACTTGACCTTGCTAGGGAAAGGGGAGCATACACCCCAACTAGTGGGTATGGCTGCACTTTTCATGTTGCTTCTTTAATATTTTCCTATGGTATTTGTTCCAATAACAAAACGTACCTTGATTTCTCTAGTGGCAGAGATTCACAATCTTTCCAGAAGGGACCAAAAGCTCAGGGTCAGACCGTATTTGTTCGTGGATTTGATAGAAATCACAGTGAAGATCAGGTGCACTATTCTACAAACAATTGCACTCTTTTTTAGTTATTTTAACCCTATAAGTTATCTGTTGGAATTAAATAAATTAACTTCCAGGTTAGGAGCTCATTGGAAGATCATTTCGGTTCTTGTGGTGAAATTACGAGAGTTTCCATTCCCAGCGATGCAGAGGGTTCTGTTAAAGGGTTTGTATTCTTTTCACTCCAAAAATTGTTGCTGAAATCTATCATTGCCTTTTCAAATTTATTATTATTGAGGGGTCCATCATATTTTTTTTATTGTTTATGTCTATAAAAAGAGAATTGGCTATTAAATTCTGATATATCACATTCTGCTTTTGCATAGCTTTGAAAATGCTGTCCACTCTGATAGATTTTGTGATTTTGTGGACACAGCATAGCGTATATCGACTTCAAGGATTCAAATGCTTTCAACAAGGCTTTGGAACTCAATGGATCTGACTTTGGTGAGGGCACCACTCTCACAGTTGTGGTTGCTAAATCTAAAAGTGACTCGAGATCTGGCAGTGGCGGCAGAGGTGGTGACCGGGACTATGATGGCAGATCTGGCGGCCGTGGCCGGGGTTTTGGTGGCAGAAATGGCGGCCGTGGCCGCGACTTTGGTGGCAGAAGTGGCGGCCGTGGCCGCGACTTTGGTGGTCGGGGTCGAGGACATTTCAATAAGCCAAATTTGGCTGCTCCTGGAACTGGTATGCATGCTCTCATCTTTTTTTTTTTCCTTTTGCCTGTTGTGCACTTTTTGTTTGTTTTCTAGTGTGTTTGTTTGAATTGAATTCTATGCTGTGACAATCTTTACTTTATTTCAGGAAAGAAGACAACGTTCAGCGATGAATAGAAAAGTGATAGGGGTCCAGAATCATGCATCCTATCTTGGAGTGTCTTGATTTTGGCGGCTTCTTGGGAGCACTTTGAATTTTGTGTTTTTAGTTATGGTTTGGTCTGTTTGGCCAAACTTTTTGAAGTGGAAGTGACTACAATATGTTTTTGGATCTCTATATGGTTAACTTAATATGTTTTCATATTTATGATTTGCATGATTTGAAGGATTATTTTTCCTCCCTCTGGATTCAGTTGGTTATTTACTTGTGATTTGATGGATGATTTGTTTGTTTGGCCTTATTGTGATCTGCTGATGACCTTTGGCGGTCATGCTCTCCTACCCAATACATGGTAAATATATGTTAACTAGTACAATACTCGTTTACTGTACTAAGTGTGTGTTAGAAAATTTATATAAAATTTAAAATTATAACAAAAAAAATTGTTCTAATTTTCAAATATTTTTTTGAATAATTATATTATTAGTTTTATTTGAAATAACACTACTTACTAATATGGCATGTCATCTTATATTATAATAATTTTTTAAATTATATTATCTTCATAAAATAAGTGGACAAGTTGTAGTGTCAAATTAAATAAAATGCAAACACAAGTTTTGACTATTTAAACATGATTCTCATTAAAAAATGAAAATAAGTTCAAAGAACAAGAAATTTTAGTTACAAACTTTCTTATAGTCTTTATTTGTAATATGTTGTTAATTTACTTCAACACTTTTCAGGAAATTTTCTTATATAATAATCACGTACATCAATATTTTTAGAATTTTCAGCAATTTTAGCATGCAAATTTTTAGTTTCAGCATGAAGATTTTCAATTTCAACATTCATATTGTCAAACACATTAAAGATATTTTCAGTTTAAGCATCCAAAAATTTTAGAATTATTAAAATTTCTTCAATCAGTCAATTTTTCTAACTGCATTTAGAGTAGGGTTAAATTCAATAATAAGCGAAGAAAAAAAACATATCGAAGTAAAGATAACATCTCTACTAATCACGATTATAAAACTTGGTGCACTTCTTAATCACAATCTATACCCTTTGACACCATCAGGATATCATAAGAAAATACATTTCAAGGATCAAGGTTCAAACTTATTCTTTTTTATGGTAAAATACGACACAACCAAAAATACGGAAGTTTGAAAATATATTTCTTTGTCAAAACAAATAAACTCTAACACATTTATCCTTCAAAGTCACATGAAGAGACATACTTATGAAATAAGCAGTTGTTAAAATAGCTTCACTCCCAAACAATTTTGAATGACCTCAACTAGATAACACACACTTCTTTTAATTAAAGTTTTATTCATACGCTCGTTATGCCATTTTGATGAAGGGTGTGGAGCTTAGTTTTACGCTTTTTCACCACCAAGTTTAGTACACAATTGAAAATTATTATAAATTCGAGCTTATTATCCGTAGTAATATTTGATTTTATTTTTGTTTGATTTAAATTAAGATTTTACAAGTCTTTAACTTTTCAAACACCTCATTTTTATTTTCAAAAGAAAAACACGGAGACCTTCTTCGAAAAATGGTCAACAACACAAACAAAATACCTATATCCTCCATATTTCGAAACACTAATGGGACCCCCACACATGACAATATTCGAAAATTCTAAAAATGCATAGAGTTTGGGGAAAGGTGAAATAAAAAAATTTATCAGGTTTTTGTTAATTTGCCAAGCACACAAGAATTACTATAAGGCAAAAATATCATTTATCTTTACCAAATTAACTCTTATGCAAAATTTCAAAATCTCGGAAATACATATGACCTAACATGTTATGCCATAAATCGATTTCGCTCTCACGAACAACATTTGCAGAAGTTTCAGTATGTGTTTCACTTTCACAATTAGCATGCACACATACAAGTTTTTCCACCTTTCATCTTTAAAACTTACCAACAAGCCTTTCAAGGTTTTCACAATATCCTTACCCCATCTGCCCTCTAACTTGTCACCCTCACGAGTAGCACATGAAATCATCTCATGACACAAATCAAACACGATGAACATATTTCAAGGTGAACACATATCTTGAATCAAATTTAGGGTATAAATCACCAATATGAACAACACCGCAGAGCTTTTCAATTTCCATAGAAGCATAACCATGCTTGAACTCTTTGTAGTTACCCAAAAAAGAAAAAAAAAAAAAAAATCTTATTGGAGATATATGAAAAGTGCATACAAAATCAAATAGCCATTCTGTGGGATCCAGCCAAATAGTCAACAGTAAAAGCCAAACTACTTTCGGTGGATGCCATCTTGGAAAGAAGAAAAAGACAAAAAGGAGGAGCCCACCATTATGGAAAGGAAGGTGCAGAGCAGCAAGTTTTTTTCTCTTAACATGTACTTCTTCCCCTATAAATATAGGGGGTATTCGGCAGAAGGAAAACACACCAAGGAAAGGAGAAAGAAAAACAGCAAGAACAAAATATAAGTATTCTGGAGTGTGAGTATTTTTCAGTGAGATAAAAATAGAATGTTTGAGTAAATCCTGTGAGTGTGAGAAAAATACACCGGGTCGGGTATCATCTCTATTACTCTTTGTAATATTTAACAGGAGTGGGATATCACTGGGTCACTATATTTTACATTTCTAGTATAGGGGAGTGTGAAAAGATATTGTAATTATCTTGAAAATATAGTGGAATTGTTCAGAGGTTGTCCCGTGGTTTTTTCCTCTACATTGGATGTTTTTCCACGTTAAATCTTGGTGTCTTATTTCTTGCATATTTTATTTATTTGGGATATTCTAAGTATGCTATGTGGTTGCAGTTTAATCTGATCTTCCACATCAGAAAAGAATTATTCCTGTTTTATTGCAAGAGATTTCTTTTGTCATTCTTGAGTTGCTGGGATTGGGATTATTGATCACCATATCATGTTGGTATTTTAATTTACATCTTCCGCATTTGCGCATCTGAGCCCAACAAGTGGTATCAGCGCCAGGTTGGGCTCTGTATCGACCAGTGTAAATTAAATGGAAGAGAACGTGGGTACCATGGTGAAGCTGACAGCAACAAATTACTCCATTTGGAAGCCAAAAATGGAGGACATACTTTTCTACAAAGATCTGTATGATCCTGTAGAAAAGGGAGACAACAAGCCAGATGACGTGAAGGATGACGATTGGAAAAAATTATACAGGAAGGCTGTCAGTTTAATCAGACAGTGGGTGGATATCAACATATTCCACCATGTTGCCACAGAGTCAAAAGCCCATACTCTGTGGAACAAAATTGAGCAGATGTATCAAAGGAAGACTGCACAAAATAAAGCTTTCATTATTAGAAAGCTTGTGAATTTAAAATATCGGGATGGAAGATCAGTAGCAGAACACTTGAATGACTTTCAAGACATGGTAAACCAGCTTGTAACCATGGAGATGAAACTTGATGAAGAACTGCAGGCGCTGTTACTTTTGAGTTCTTTACCGGATAGCTGGGAGACTCTGGTGATCTCGTTGAGCAACTCTGCTCCTGAAGGAAAACTGACTTTGACCCAAGTCAAAGACAGTATGTTTAATGAAGAAACAAGAAGAAAAGACTCAGGAGCAAGCAGCACCCAAGCCTTGGTCACAGAAACCAGGGGGAGAAGTAAAAGCAGAGGCCAGAATAACAAATCCAGAGATAAATCACAATCTCAACCCAGGAGAAAATTCAAGAAGTAAAAGCAGAGGCCGGAATAACAAATCCAGAGATAAATCACAATCTCAACCCAGGAGAAAATTCAAGTGTTATCACTGCGGTGAAGAAGGGCATATCAAAAGAAACTGTAAAGCCTGGAAGAACAGAGATCGGAGGAATAACAAATTAGAGAACGATGAAAATACCGCAACCCCTGTGATCAATGGGGAAGTGGTGTTGCTCTCTGTTGAAGAAGAAGAGTGTCACGTTGCAGATTCATGTGTTGAATGGGTCGTTGACTCAGCAACATCTTACCATGCAACCTCTCACAAGGAATTATTTTCTCTATACAAAGAAGGAGACTTTCGTAGAGTAAAGATGGGCAACGACAGCATTGCAAATATTGTGGGAGTCGGTGATGTGTGCATTCAAACTGATATTGGGTGCACAATAACACTAAAGGACGTGCGACATGTACCTGACTTACGTCTGAATTTGATCTCTGTGCATGCATTTGATCTAGCAGGCTATACTAACAATTTTGGTAGCGGCATGTGGAGGCTTACCAAAGGATCATTGTTAGCTGCTAGAGGTACAGTGAGATCAACACTGTACAGAACTCAAGTGAAGCTGATCAAGGGTGGACTAAATGCAGTCGAGAATGATGCTTCGCCAAATTTATGGCGCAAAAGACTGGCTCATATAGGTGAAAAGAGATTGCAAATTTTGGCAAGAAAGTCCCTTATCCCGTTTGCTAAAGATTCAAAACTAAATCCATGTGATTATTGTCTCTTTGGGAAGCATCATAGAGTGTCTTTCAGCAAAACCTCGAAGCTAAAAGAGAATGTGTTGAAGATGGTGTATTCTGATGTATGTGGACCCATGGAAGAGGAGAGTCTCGGTGGTAGCAAATATTTCGTGACGTTTATTGATGATGCTTCACAAAAATTGTGGGTGTATTTCTTGGGAATGAAGGACGAAGTTTTTCAGTACTTCAAAAGGTTTCACGCTATGGTGGAGAGACAAGCTGGTAAACCTTTGAAGTGTCTTCGCTCAGATAATGGAGGGGAATATACTTGCCATGAGTTCAAGAATTATTGTGCTGATCATGGAATCAGACATGAGAAGACTGTACCTGGAACCCCACAGCATAATGGTGTGGCTGAAAGAATCAATAGAACCATTATAGAGAAGTGAGGTGTATGTTAAGAATGGCTAAGCTACCTAAGCCATTCTGGGGTGAAGCTGTTCTGACGGCGTGCTACTTGATCAACCGATCTCCATCTGTTCCTTTGGGTTTTGATATCCCTGAGAGAGTATGATCCAGACATGATGTTAAATACTCTCATTTGAAGGTGTTTGGATGCAAAGCTTTTGCTCATGTAAGCAAGGAACATAGACGGAAACTTGATGATAGAGCCATTCCTTGTATATTTCTGGGCTATGGAGATGAGGAATTTGGCTATAGGTTATGGGATCCAGAAAAACGAAAATTTGTCAAAAGCAGAGATGTAGTGTTCCATGAGCAAGAAACTATGTCTGATTCTGCTTCACCAGAAATCAAAGAACCAGGTGATAAGGTGGATCTTTCACCTGTAGAACCTTCTAGAGATGCCACAGTAGGGGGAGAGTGTGATGGAGAACTCAGGGTTGATGATGAACCAACAATAGAAGATGGTGATGATGAAGGTGTCGAGAAAGAAGACTTCGAAGCTCCGCCTCAGCTCAGGAGATCAAATCGAGCGATCCAACCATCTACGAGGTACCATAGTTCCACGTATATTACCATCACTGAAGAAGGGGAGCCAGAAAGCTTTGAAGAAGTACGGACTCATAAGGATAAATCCCAGTGGGTGAAAGCTATGCAAGAAGAAATGGATTCACTGGTGAAAAATGAAACTTATGAGCTAGTAAAGCTTCCGGAAGGCAGAAAAGCCTTGAAAAACAAATGGGTGTTCAAGCTTAAGAAAGATGGTGACAAGATGTTGAAGTACAAGGCTCGTTTAGTTGTCAAAGGATTTGGACAAAAACGAGGAATAGATTTCGATGAAATCTTCTCACCGGTTGTAAAGATGAGCTCTATTCGAGTAATACTCGGATTGGTGGCTAGCTTGGATTTGGAGCTTGAACAACTAGATGTGAAGACTGCATTTCTTCATGGAGATCTAGATGAAGAAATCTACATGGAGCAACCAGAAGGATTTGAAAAGACTAGAAAGGAGCACATGGTTTGCAAATTGAAGAAGGGCTTGTATGGACTGAAACAAGCTCCACGACAGTGGTACAAGAAATTTGACTCGTTTATGGCGAGCCATGGATATACCATGATTGATGCAGATCATTGTGTATTCGTTAAGAAATTTACAGGTGATAAATTCATTATCCTTTTGTTATATGTAGATGATATGTTGATAGTGGGACAAGATATGAAGCTGATTGGTGATTTGAAGAAGGATTTAGCAAAGTTCTTTGATATGAAGGATCTGGGCCCTGCGAAACAAATTTTGGGCATGCAGATCATGCGAGACCGAAAATCCAAGATGTTACGGCTATCGCAAGAACGGTATGTGAATCGGATTCTGGAGAGTTCAACATGAAATCGGCTAAGCCTGTCAATACACCGTTGGTCAATCACTTCAAACTCAGCAAACGAAGTTGTCCTACAGTCAAGAAGAAAAAGAAGCTATGGAGGGTGTTCCAACTCCTCGGCGGTCGGGAGTTTGATGCATGCCATGGTTTGTACTAGACCAGATATCGCTCACGCGGTTGGAGTTCTTAGCAGGTATCTTTCCAATCCAGGGAAGGATCATTGGGAAGCTGTGAAGTGGATCTTGAGGTACCTAAAAGGTAGTGCAAATAAGTGCTTAAGCTTCGGCAAAGGAAACCCAGTTATTGAGGGTTATACAGATGCGGATATGGCAGGTGACTTGGATAGTAGAAAATCTACTTCAGGGCTTGTGTTTACATTTGCAGGAGGAGCTGTATCTTGGCAATCTAAATTGCAGAAATCTATTGCCTTGTCGACTACTGAAGCCGAGTATATTGCACTGACAGAAGCGGGAAAAGAAATGCTTTGGTTGAAGAGGTTTCTTCAACAATTGGGAATGAAGCAAGAGAGGTACGATATTCATTGCGATAGTCAGAGCGCATTGGATTTAAGTAAGAATGCGATGTACCACTCTCGCACGAAACACATTGATGTTAGATATCATTGGCTACGTCAAGCAGTGGAAGAAAAACATTTCATGTTGGAAAATATTCACACTGACGAAAACCCTGCTGACATGATGACAAAAGTGGTAACAGGAGGAAAGCGTCAGCTTTGTGCCGAGATGATCAACATGGAATGCATGTGAAGATTTGCAGTATATTACCCTTTGGCTGGAGGGGGAGAATTGTGGGATCCAGCCAAATAGTCAACAGTAAAAGCCAAACTACTTTTGGTGGATGCCATCTTGGAAAGAAGAAAAAGACAAAAAGGAGGAGCCCACCATTATAGAAAGGAAGGTGCAGAGCAGCAAGTTTTTTTCTCTTAACATGTACTTCTTCCCCTATAAATACAGGGGCTATTCAGCAGAAGGAAAACACACCTCTATTGAGAGTACATGGATTATACTAATGGAGAGAAAAGAAAAGTAAGACCTTACAAAATAAAAGAAAAGAATTACGATATGGAACATTACAGGGTTATCGTATTTATGGACTATGATATTTGGATTTGTACATATCACTTACATTGTAACTATTTAAATTATTATGTAAAATTAAACATAGCTGCATATAGCCTTACAAGTTTTCGTATCCTTTCGATGAAAAATATTAATTTTTTGTTTTTTTATATTTTGAAATGGTGCTTTTCCTTCAGCTCCAATAGCTTAAACCACCTTTTCTCTGTGGAGGCTGAATTCCTTATACCCAAATCTGATACAACATTATGCATTATTGTTAATAGAACTTAATAAATGACAAATATGGCAACATATCAATCAATTCACACAAATAAAAAGGTACTTACAATGCACTTTAGGTTCAGACTTATCACAAGCTTGAGAGCACGTTTCCTGCACAATAGAAAATATATTAGCAATCATTTTNNTGAAGTTATGTTGTAATTTTGGAGAAAGAAATTTCTGTTGTGTCATCATAAAATGATTTACTGTAAGGATTTGTCATTAATTAAATAGCTATACTTTAACTGAGATGGCAAGTCGAATTGTGTCTTGTATCAATGAATCAAGATCGGCTTCATATCCAGGTTTAACATAAAGAACCTGCAAAGAAAATTAATACATGCATAGGGTTAATATTGATCATATTGCATTTAAGTACAATTGTCGTGATGCATTTTATGTTGTATCATCTCTTAATGTTTCCCATTTGTTCAATATCAACACTGTACTCGTGTAATTGATGTGCCAAGCATATCTCTTTGTCTCAGACACCCACATACACAAACAGATTGCATCAAATGAGTCTGTATTTAGCAAATGAGTATGTGAGACTCAATCATTCCCATTAAATAGGGAACAAAAAATGTTGTCAAGATTTAATCTTTTATTTTTATTTTTAATTATTTAGATATTGATTTGACCGTCGACCGTTGACCGCCGGCGTTGACTGACGACTCCCGACATTGACCATTAAGTAAATGTGTTATCAAATATACAATAGATATCAATTAAGTATGCATGTTCATTAACTAAATATGCATTATGTATGAACTAAATATGAACTAAATGTGCAGTTTTCAAACTGACGGTGTCCCTGTCAAAATATGCAATTGATATCAACTATGTACGTAAGTATTAACTAAATTTGTATTACGAATAAACTATATATATTATGCACAAACTAATATGCATTATGTATAACTGAATATGTGTATTTTTAATATAAAACTAAATGAGGGAAGCCCATTTATTTGTAAATAAAGGAAGAGCCCAATTCAATTATTTTAGACAATCCCATTTTGTAGATTAGTGCAATTGGGCCGGTCCAAATGGAATTTAAATGAGGGTAAGATGGTAATTTATCAAGAGATTTTTAATTCTTATTCTTCCTCATGATACAACACGTCCACCATTGATACAATAGGTCATGATTGAGTTGTCGACATGTCCGACTGGAGCGCCACCTCTCGCCACGGCTTAGCCACCAGAGAGTCTTTGGACCCCTTCATGATCGAAGAAGAAGAGCTAGGAGTTGAGCTGCTCGGTGAGCGTTCACGCACGTTGTCCTCCATGTTGGAGTTGCTGTCCAGACTGAGCAACAACCACCTACTCAGAGACCAGAGTGCCGACCATTCCCGCCTTCATAGTCTCCGGAGAGTCTCGGACAGAGGAGTACGATCGCCGAAGAAACACATTCGTGGTGAATGACGCCATGTTGAGCGAGAGGTGATTGGATGACAACATGACCGTTAACCTGCTAACGACCGGGAGCAATCGGAAATCGACCAGTTAACCTGTTGAAGAACCACTTCCGGTTGGGTTGATCGGTCAACGACGGCCGTCGGTTAGTACTGATCGCCGGTCAATTATTACAACATTAATTTAAAATAATAATTAATATTTTTTATTATATAATTTATATAAATCTCGATTGGTTAAGGAAGGGTCCTACTAGATCCACCCCTATATTCATATATAGGGATTTGATCAAGTGAATCTCAATTCTTAAAGTGTGAACGTGAGGCTTAATGCCAGCCATTAATCAGGGAATAAGATGTATGACTAGAATTTAATCTTTTATTATTTTTTTAATATTTAAATACTGATTTGACCGTTTTGACTGTTGACTGCTGACGTTGACCATTGAGAGTAATTGTAAACTAAATATGCAGTGTGTATGAAGTAAATATGCACTCAAAATATGCAGTAAATATCAACTAAATATACTTTTTGTATGAACTAAATGTACAAAGATAATATGTAATAGATATCAACTAAGTATGCATTGTTTATAAACTAAATATACACTATGTATGTACTAAATATGCATTTTGTACAAACTAAATGTGCAGTCAAAATATGCAATTGACAGTAATATCCTGGAGCTTTACTAACTGCAACTACTAAGTATGCATTGTTCATGAACTAGAAATGCACTATGTATGAACTAAATATGCATTTTTTATGAATTAAATGTGCAACATAATATGCAATTGAGAACAATATCCCGAAGTCTTACTATGCATGAACTAAATATGTATTTCAGTTAAGTAGATTTCTAGTTGTAACTCAACACACATTTTGTAAAACAATATAACTAAAGAATTCGATCTTGGCCTATTATGGTTGATGTTTGGCAATGCCTGATGACTCACATGCATCCCTACCCAAGTTCACTTGTGGTAGGGATTTGACTTTATTTTTTACTGAATGACATTCTAAACATTTCGGATAAGTCACCTAGGGATGTACATTCCTTATATGGCTTTAATAATGGTTTTATTCATAAAAATGACTCGGTGCGATATGTATATACTCTTGGTGCATGCATGTCAGTCGCATGTGTCATGTTAATGACATAATGCACATACGTTGATTGGCTAATTAAGAGTAAGTGGAATAAGTGCAAAAATAAAAAGAAGATTAAGTTAGAGTTTTACAGAAGGATCTTCACCACCAATATCGGGGAGTTGACAAGATGAGTCTCGAACCAGTCTGGTTGATGGAATAATCCAAACTTTAAAAGTTGTGTTGATCTAAGACATAAAATGACACAAATATAATTCAACTTATACAAAATTAATAATTAAAATAATAGTTCTAAGAAATGAGAACGAGTATATATACCTCACTCAAGTAGGGGGAGCAACAATTACAACATCTCCTATTTATGCATGTTGTGATCGCTCCTTCTACTGATAACCCAAGTCCAGCATGCTGTTACACATTTCTTTTTCAGTATCACTATCAACTCTTCTTTTATTGTTTATATTTATGACCAACTATGTACATTGATTCAATCCACTGTAGCTCATATTAATTACAATCTGTCAAGTTAATTTCACACTGGCAAAACTTTAAAAAAATCAGACTCTCCTTCAAATAGTATAAAAAAAATCACAATTTTCTTTTTAAAACTATTATGTTTATTCTTACACTTTTGTAGTAGCACTATAGTTAGACCAACATTTCGCTACAAATATTTCATGAGCATAAAAAAAGTAACTAAGAAAATTGTTTAGAATGTAACATTTACTAATAGTAGCACATATAAGCAACAACTAATATATCCACTTCTGTAAATCCCAAATTTTAGCCACTCTCTTAAAAAACCATTTCACATTTTGCCATATCTATTAAAACTTGACAAGAGCTTATATGATGGAATGTTCCATTGTGTCACCATATGGTACATTGTGGACATGACAACATATGAATGACATGATTACCATGTGTAGCCCTTATTTATTTGTAAGATGAAGGATATGAACAAGGCTAACTTTTTTAAATGGACAAGATTAAGAAAATTTTGCCCACTATTGGATGAGAAGAACTAGAAATAATCTTTCACATTGTTGGACAAACATGATCTCCATATCTAATCAATAAAATATGAAAAAAGTTGAAACACATTCATCGTGTTGGTGTTGATCTTCACTGAAAGTTATGGAGCGTGTTTCTGAGTAATGTGGCGCATTTTGTTCATTCATTGATGATAAGGTTCTCGAGTACAAGGCAACTTCATATAGTTGTGATAAATGTAGCCCTAGTATCTGATATAGCCATATAAGAAGAACCCGGTTGAATAAGCTTGTTATTCAACCGGTGAACCACTCGAATTACTCACACGTCGACATGACTCCGTCGATTTCCCAAATCGACTTCCCTAGGGTCGGTTCTGCCAAGAGCAACTAAGAAGAAGCAGAAATTGGTCTAGTCGACTCTTTCGAGTCGACGTCAGTATATCGACTTTCACTAGTCGACACCAATGGAAGAGTAACAGCAAGAGTACAGCACCCAAGCATCCCGATACCCTAAGTCGACTTCAGACAGTCGACTGAACCAAGACGACCTCACCACTAAGGATTAGTCGAGCGTAGCCTCCGAATCCTCACATACACGAGTCGACATCCTATATCTCGAAGTCGACCTCGCATACCTCGACTAACACGGATGTGATGACGACTCCTCACACTTGCAATATACTTGAAGTTCCACATACTATCAAAGATAAGAAGGAATCTTACGATGACTCAGCAACAAAGGGGAGACGAATCGACAGGGGTATTTTGGACCTTCTAGGTCCACCGACTTGGGTATTTTGGGCACTTCGCGTAAGTATTCACTCCTATATAAAGGAGATGAGGTAACCCTAAAACCCTAACTCTCATTCATTCCACTCTCCCCTATAGCTGCTGCGCAGCCTCTCTTCATCACTCT